CCGTAGTCTTCTTCTTACTTGTTTACGTTTTTTTTTTCTCCTAACAACTTGCTGTAATTCTACTCTTCTTGTTCTTTCTTTTTCTCCTACAACTGCTGATACTTTTTTCTTGTTTATTTTCTTTCTCCTCCAACCACTGCTGTAGTCTCTCTTATTGTTCATTTTCTTTCTCCTTCAACCATTGCCATAGTCTCTCTTCTTGTTTCTTTTTTTTCTCCAACAACTGCTGTAATCTCTCTTCTTGTTTCTTTTCTTTTTTCTCCAACAACTGCTGTAATCTCTCTTCTTGTTTATTTTCTTTCTCCTCCAACCACTGCTCTAGTCTCTCTTCTTGTTCATTTTCTTTCTCCTCCAACCATTGCCATAGTCTCTCTTCTTGTTTATTTTCTTTTTTCTCCAACAACTGCTGTAATCTCTCTTCTTGTTTCTTATCTTTTTCCTCCAACAACTGCTGTAATCTCTCTTCTTGTTTCTTTTGCTGTTCTTGTATTATTGGCCGGGCTTATTGACCAGGTGTCGTTTAGTGGTTCATTCTTCGTGTTCTGTTGCCATAAATTCACGCTCCTCACTTTGAGGTTGTGGACGTTATAAAAGTGATGGTTAAATTTCACTATTCGATCAGACAATAGTAGCCCAAGAGCTGGCGATGCGTTTTGTTTACTAGATGTCTTCCCTCTAGTCTATTAGCTCAAAATTAGAGGTAGCTATGCGTAGATATCGCTTGTGCAGTTTAGCGTGAAAATTATAAACAAACAAACAAAATAATGTTCATTATAAATTACAGTCACAGCATGTATACAGATATTTTTCTTCTAAACATTTCTCTTCCAATTCGGTGTCTTTATTAGATAAAAGTAGCACCCCGGTAGATCAGCGGTAAATTTAGGGACCTAGAACGCTCAAATCCGAGACTCGATTCCTCGTGGTGGACAAAGTGCAGAGAGCCTATTGTGTAGCTTTACATCAAGAAAACAACAATAATTTTAGAGTATAAACGTTATAAGGTTTAAATTTTGATAATTTATAATTATTTATACAATTATCAAATATACTGCAACAGTCCCAAATCCCATTAGAATTTTTAAAGCACGTATTTGATGTACCATAAATGTAAAACTGGAGCATTAGTTTTATGTAGCTTTCTGCACGGCACTAACGAATCTTGTTGAAATGGGTTCTTAATTTTTAAACGGTCATTGCTAAAGTGAAAGTCATCAAGTACCACAAAAGGTGATGGTGATAATTTCGAACAAAAAACATAGTAATGAAAGTTACACGAATAAAACTACATTAAATTATTTATACAAGTCAATAAACTAAAATATTAGAATATTAAAAATAATCAGATCAAATTCAAGTTAGGTTATAAAGTGGTCGTGTGTGAAACAGTTCACTTGACTTCTAAACAAGAGTTTGTTTGTGATTAAGCACAAAGCTACACAATGGGCTGTCTGTGCTCTGCCCAACACGGGTATCGAAACATCCGCAGACACACCGCTGTGCCACTGGGGTGGATGTGGGGGCTCTAAACAAGAGAGGAGAAACATTAATCCATCCTCCCTTCAATGACTCAGTAGTAAGTCTAAGGGTTTACAACACAAAAAATCAGGTTTCGATACGCGCAGTAGGAGAGCACAGATAGCTAATTGTGTAGCTTTGTGCTTAATAACAAACAACCAAAGAAATTTATTCATATCAAGAATATTAAGATAATATACAACCATTGTGGACTGGGCGTGGTTAAAATAGCGTGGTGGGTTGCGAATCCTAAGATTCAAGTTTCGAGTGACAATATATCACTGAACGTACTCCGCACTTTCAACTATGGGGTGGCTATATAACTCTGACAGTCTTGCTATTCGGTTAGTATTAACCACTATTAACTTCTGGTTACCTTACCTCTAATCAGCAGTTATGAAATAAGTCTGTTTGTTTGAAGTTAAGCACAAAACTACACAATGGACTTTCTGTTCTCTGCCTACCATGAGTATCGAAACCCGGTTTCTAGCGTTGTAAATCCGCAGACATACCGCTGTGCCACTGGAGGGCAAAAAAGAAGTATCTTGGTTTGAGGGCTGCGCTAGCCGTCCCTAATTTAACAGTGAAAGACTAAAGGGAAGTCAGCAAGTCATTAATAATTTTTTTACCAACGAATAGTGGGATTGACCGTTACATTATAACGACCCCACAGCTGAAAGGGCGAACATGTTCGGTAGGACGTGGATTCGAACCCTCGACCCACAGGTTGCGAGTTGAGCGCCCTAACCACCTGGCCAGGCCCGTATAAACTAAGAATAGCTACGTATGAGCTTCTGGGTCTATGATCCGGCCGATTAGCCCACACGTCGCTTAAGTTTCCATTTAGTTGCCACTATTGAAAAAAAGAATAATTCAGTTTAACTCAGTTTGTTAAAGAATCTCTTTACGTAAGTTGCTAGAACACGTGATACATCTGATGCAAAGGATGATGGAAGAATGATTCAATATGAGAATCTTCACGAATAATACAAAGAGTGTTAATAAGTAGTGAGTGAGTTGGGTTATTCTGTTAGTGCAATGCATATGACTCTTGTAGGATATTTTCTTACATCGGCAAGTTACAGCGAGTGAGAATAGGACATTGTCAGAATCATAATAGTTTTGAGTTAATTACCTGTTTTAATTAACTTAGGGTTTTTCTTTTTAGGTTGTTTTCTTAAGTTGTGGATCTTGCAACAAATGAGTAGTTATACGGTAATAACTCATAAAACTCCAATAGTTATTATTTTCTCATCTCTAGACAACACTGTTTTGTAATTTCCTAACACTATTCATTGTATTTTTATATTAGTAATTATTCTAAAAATTGTTCAATTTGTCATTTTCATAGATTTGCTGAAGGTGAAATATGTGTAATTCCGAAACGTTCATTAAAGATGTTTACAACTGTTGCCGTGGCTCTACTATTCATTATCAGACTGTAAGTCAGTTTTCAATACAGAACACGTTTTGTTGAAAGTGTTGTATGTTTTTGGAGCATTAAGTTTAATTAATACAGAAATTCACTGATATAGGACATTGATAATGATGTTTTCAACCTAAACGGAGCAAGGACTGATTGGTCAAATCAAAGACCTTTAAGGTTCAAGTATAGCCGTCCGTAATTTTGAACTACTGAAGAAAGGCAACCAGTCAGTAGCATCCGCCGCCAGAAGGGAATTTTTTAGAGCGTTAACCAAATAACAGGATTGACTGTCACTTTTTATAATGCACCCACAACTTAAAGTGTGAAGCGTGTTCTTCAGAAGCGCAGCACAAACCTTGAACCTTTCCATCCACAGCGCGGCACACACTGGCCACTAGTTTACGTCTTAATCTAGGTCAAGTAATTGTAACATAGCGCAAGATTAACACCAAAAGTTTAATTCCAACTCTATAAATAATAACGAAGCCTTTAGAGATAAAAACGGTCTATTAAAAGTATGATATTCCTTGATAGTATCAGTTACCACTTCTGTGGAGGTGTACACCGTCGGTATGATAAAAAAGGCATGCTTTATTTATGTTTTTTTTTAATCTTTCAAATGTTTCATTGAAAATACTTTAAATTTTCAAATAATATTGTTTAGTTGAAT